TGTAGCAACATTGAAAAAAGAAGGATATAAAGGCAGGTTTGACTGATCTGTCGGTCTGGGACTTCAAATTGAATTTAACCAGGTACATTAGGTCGATTTTCTTTCAAGATAGACAGACCCAAACATCCGTCAAAGGTTCTTGGATCTCCACTAGTCCACGTTGCTTCAGATGCGCCTTAAGTAAATCCTGTTCATTAGCTGGTAAGTTATCGGAAAAAATATCACGCAATTTTCATTTGTCATGACCTTTGCTATGAAGTTTCTCATAGCGAAAGGTATATGGCATATTCTTGGTTGCATTCAGTTCTATGCATTTTTATTATATGTGCATTGGGTCGATTACGAAAAAGGAGGCGTTTTATCTAACAGCGTATGCATTCGTTGGTTCGGTCACTACAATGAACCGAGTTTCTGGTGTGGTGCGAATGCGACCGAAATTTAAACGGAACTCACACGCTTACTCGTTCTGATCGTTTTCCGGTATGTACTTGATTGTACATGGGTGGGGTGTGTACCCTTGAACAAATTCGAATGGTACCATTTGGGCGGGAGGAAGTCCGATGTTAATTCCTATCAGTGGAGCTTACCTACACCCAGACAGGATAGACACAAAGGAAAACGAGAGAAAAAGGTGTACCTACTCTAAAGGATACGTAGTATTCTGGTTCCACTAGTTACACGACCCTGTGCCTTTTCGTTTGTTCAGGATACCACGTGATTTTATAGCCGCATATCCCTAGTTTTCGAGAGGCTGAAGCTGAAAATACCGAGCAAACAGGGGTGTTTCAATTCAGTTTTCGGTAGTATTCCATGGTAACATTCGTCGCTTGTTGACTCGGTCAATTTCTACGCAAACGAGTTCCACAATTTCAGCCTGTGCGTAACTATGCCCAGTATTAATGCGTTATTCCAGAGCATTACTGTTAACTACCCTGACCAACCAGTTAACACAAGTGTCAGAACTTTGAGAATAACAATAACGACTGTAGTGGTGATGAAAATGTCAGCCAGATAGAACCATGATGACAAATCACAATGTGCTCTTGTGTGTTCGTGTTTGTGTGTACGTATACGTTGTCCAAACAAAATACTCTATACAAGACACGGGAGAAAATGAAGGAGGTAGAAAGATCGGGTGGACAGTGAGTAAGTTCACAAAAGAAAAAAAAATAGAACGATCCAACACAGAGAAGTGCAGAGTTTTTGTCAGCTGTAACCCACAGACAACAGCGTGAAAAAAGGAAGAGGAGGGAGATTGATGAGGAAAACAGCGTTGTGTTTGTGTGTGCTCAGGGCGGAATGCAGATTTCTGAATAGGACATAGGGGGGAAGTCGAGATAAAAACATTGATCTACATGTAGACCACACGCGAGTCCGGGAGTGTTTAGACGGAATGAGAAAATAAAAGTCATATACCACAATCGGGGAGGGGGAGCCACAGCCAAGACAGGCAGTGTTCATGAGAGCGTGTGCGTCAGTTCGTCGTGAGCGCATATTACTTCACGGAGGTCTGCGGACGCATGATCATCGTGAAGCGATCGCCTCAGGAAACTCTTGTGCCAACGCAGCTTCCAATGCCAGTTCAAGAATAACCCCGTTTTCAGCCGTCGAACTGTTAATCAGATGATCTGTGGGATTGTTAGATCTTGTCTCCAAACTGAAAAACCCACGTGTGTGACAAAGAGAAGGAGAATGAACGGAGAGCAGGTTCAGGGTCACTAAGGACGAATACAAACCAAACCAATACAAACAAAGAATAATCATCAGAGAAGTCCATAAATCTGGTTCCGGACCAAGCTTCATATCAAATGCGGATTTTATTGTAAAATTGTTTGATCAAGATTTGTTCAGTTCAGTTTGTGTTCCAAGCGCTTCCTTGAGCAGGTTTTGGTCACTCTCTTTCAGCCACCAATGGAAAACGGAACAAACGGTAACATACCATTTGGCCAAGGTCTTAATAAATCCATACCAGGTCACAACCTGACCGAAACTAGCTGCTTCGGTTAACACAGCATTCCGAGAAAGCACATTCAATGCGGCTAGGGGTGTTTCAGAGCTTTCACGAATTGATTCTAAGAGCACAGAGTAGTAGTTGAACACTGCTTTCAGTGTGCCCGGAATGCGAAGCATTACATTATCTTGGGGAACGGGAAGCTTTGAAGGTTTGAAACTTAAATAGCACACACACTATTCACACCGAGAATATGCTAGGGAGGTAATACCTGTGCTTCATACATCACCATCCAAGATATTGGGAAATTCGATTCGTTTAAATAGAAAAATACAAACTAACTGTTTACTGTGTTTGAAATTGGAAAGTAGTGTTGAGTATTACTTGAGAGACCAACATTTGCTAGAAATAAAACATAATACAGAAGATCAGGCGAACAAGAAATAGGGAGGTCATCTCAGACAGACGAGCTATTGATATACTTACGTACACACAGTGATAGTATTAATAAAATACAGATGAAGAAAGGCCTTATCGCCTGACGTTTACCAACCCAGTGAGGTGAGAAGAAACTAATTCCAGGAAAACGCTGGTACCTGTATAGGAATGGAGCCAACTCAGAAATGTAGTCAACTTTATCGAGAGCCAATACGTGTAGGCATCCTTGAATGGGCGAGAACTGCGAACGATCAAGCTCCTGCGATGACCGATCAGCCATATTAGAGTTCTATGGATCGGGGGTGAAGAAATAGAAATTTGAAAAACCGGTTTGCTATACACCATCGCACTTGACAGACCTTATCAGCCACAAAATGATAAAGAAACACAGAAAGTGAGACCTCGTGATTGGTGTCATTGAACTTCACGTGTCTACGAGCCATGCAGACATCGGTAAAAATCAACAAAAATCTTACTATCTGACACTATTCTGTACATGAATTCTCAGTACACAAAGTCCCAATCGATATTTATGGTTTGCAGCCAGCACCATACGGTGATGAGCACTCCATCGATTACTCATCTTCTGATAGCAGCAACAGGATCGTCTTGGTCTTTCAAATAGTAGTGTGGGATGAGTAACACTGTTCTGCATTGATCATGCTTTAGAACTCATCACACATTCTTCAGTTCATTCAGTCAACCGTATAATAGGAGTTCAAAGCCCAGAGGGGACAGTGGATGTGTACCACTGATGAACTTTGGGGAGAACGAAATTGAAGTCTAGTGATTCCTGAATTCACGCTTGGTTGCATGTAGTGGGGATTGCGCATGAAGATGAAGTCTGAAGGATGGTCCGTTTGAATCAGTATGAGAATGTTGTTGACATCTTAAAATCGCGGTTCAGATCGGAAATCAATCGACAATCTAGCAAGTTGTAGCTGCAAAAATCAATTTGAAATTGGGTGAATGGATGCTAGTTGCATTACTCAAGCAAATACGAACAGCAAAGGCTAGGTTCGACACGATAGCACAGTGGGGTAAAAATCTCTACTTACGATCGATAGTTATACCAGTATAGCGAACGCCGAGGAGGAATAGGCGGTTAACAACAACCACAGGGGCGCTTAAAATTTCAATTTTCACATACAATTTAGAGCCAAATGAGTTTATCGCAACGGTCGTTACCAGAAATCACTAACTCCATTTGTAAAGACAAAGATTTTTTTGTTTCACTGCGATTATCCAACTAACAAAACTGGTCGGGAAATGTTAAACAACTTCGATAATCCCATGTTTTTGCATTTGTCTGTAACGACTTGATTTACTGTATCTAGGGAAAATATTGCACCAGGCAAATCCCCGATCAAGGAAACAGTTAGGCTTATGTATCCAAACAGAGCAAGGGGGATTACTTTATCTAATTTAGCAGCGTATATTTCCCAAAGGAAAACGAACTGATCCATGTGTAGGATCAGCTGGAATGAAGTCTATTTGGGGGTGAGAAAAAAAATGGATTCACCGGAAAAAGCAAGTAGTTACGATGCGACAGATACTCAGTCTGACGGGAATCGGACACAATGATCACCGTATCAGTCTTAAACGGGGATAATATGCCTTGTGTCATGACTCCAATCGGTTTCCCCCACGAACACCTTTATGGGACAAATATATCAGTTGGTGGGCCCCGATTGAGCAAAGCTCAAATTGAGCAGTGAAAAACAGTGAGACTGTAGGTGCCTTGTAAAGCAATGAATGGAGAAACCACAAAATAGAACAAATATTCAATTGGTTTGCCGACGACGATGAAAAGAACATCCACTTACCTGTAATAACTTAGTTACTTCTGTGATGTAAGGAATGAAAGACTGTGGTACATTCGCCGAGGATGATCTGGACAACGACTGGGAACCTTTGGATGATGGGACCTCATCAACAAACACCCAGCGGTAACTGTGACGTATTCAAGGTAAAATAGAAGCACGTGCGTAAGTGATAAGCATCAAATGACTTGTTGGATAGTAATTTAATGCGTAGTGAGGTTTTCCAAGAAAGCGTGGAGGAAACAGACTAGTGAAGTAACAATAAAATAACCAAGGTGAACAGGAACTCCGATCCCAGGGTTGTGTTGGTCCGACTGTCTCTTCGTGACTAAGTAACGCAATGACGACCTGGAGACATACGTACTTGAATAACGGTTACCCAAACGCGCTGGAATAAGTTGAGAGATAAAACAATATCCCAGAAGTTAACCGAAAATTCCTACCATTAACTACGCATCTCTCTATTGCTCAAAACACTTCACACGCTGAGAAGGAGAACTCATCAGATGAGGTAGACAAACTTACAAGGGAAATTGTGGCGCTTTATATTCCGGCATAAGGAGGCACGTGGCGAGGAATTTGCAAGCACTCAAGTACATGCGTAACTCTTTCGGACACATTGCTTTCGTCAGAACCGTCCGATGCCCCGAGGATTTTATTTTGCTGTCTTGCGCACTGTGGGTTTATAAAAAAAAAATAAACAAACAAGTGGTGAGTTACAAAGGAGTGGGGGGAGGCACGTCCAATAGTGAAAAGCGTCTAAGGAGGAAGGGTAGAGGCACAGTAATGTATCACATGATGAAAAGAAACGGGCAAACGATGAAATTTTCCTGAGACGTTTTACAGGTGGTAGGAGCAAGAAATCGAACAGAACATAGTACGAATGAGGACAACGAAGTATCAATCAATACCATAACCTGTACTACTTAACATACAACATGTTATCAGGTTCGGAAAGCTTCCAACCGAGTCATAACCCTGGAGGCTAGTGGTGGGATGCACGGAGTGTGATGCTCGCAAAGGTGGATTGTAACGTATCGTGTATAATCCAGCTAAAAAACGGTATAATCAGCTGCTCGATGGTTGAGTGGGTTGTATGTTTGCGTTCTACCCGTGAGGTCCCGGGTTCGATGAATTCGCACTGCTGAGACCCAACCAGGTAGGAACAGTTGTCCAGGACTTCTTAGCTTTGCAGCTCAAGCTTCATCTACACAATGAATTCATTCTATAATGTCTATTTTTGTGGTTGTTATAATTCAGTTGAGAATAGTAATGAACACTGCACTCACTGATGGCTATCACCCTCACGATATCTACAAAGTAGATGCAAACATAGGTGATGGACGCGGGGTGAGACTGTTGGAGAGAACATAAATAAAGTGAGGTAACGTGACTGCAAACCAAAGCACAGCTACTCCTGCAGTGTTTTCCGGTCATCATCCGCGGGCGGGAAATACCAAGACAGTAAGGCAACATTAACGATGGACACGTACAATACGTGGCCTACTCGGTGGAATGAACGTTTGTTGATTCGGTGCGGCCGATACATTCAGCACACACACGACGTCTTACCGTCTTGCTAACGCGATCACCACATCCTCTGAAACGAGTTGCTGGGATATCTTCCCCGTGTCTCACAGAAGTGATACTGAAACGGTAGCGCTGCGACCTATGACTCGTGAACATCACACTCTGTTAGGAAGTATCACACCCTGTTAGGAAGGATATGCACGCGTCCATATCTTTAGGTGTGTAACAATAATTCACCACATAAACTAAGAAGCGATCAATCATAGAAAATTCCTGACCAATAAACTTAAAGCAGGCGTTGACGAGATCGAGTTGTAAAACAGCGCTCTAGGTATGATTCACACATTCGATCAAACGAAAGATTACTACAAACCAATCCGTTTTCGATAGTGGCATTTGGGAGACAAATTATCACACTTGTTTTCAATAACAGATTTTCTCTAATGCAATCTTTCGAATGAATTCAGGTGAACAATGATCAAGTATGCACGGTTCTGTCTGAACCGTCAGATGTCCAACAACTGTATGCCATCGCTCTCACTAAAACCAAAGTAGATTGCAGCAGACCAAATAAACATTGACGTATTCATCGTGTAAATGAGGCGTGAGCTGAAAGGCTGGTAAGCAGTGGACAGTAGTGCGAATCCATCGACACAACTGGGGATTGAACCCGGGACCTCACAGATAGAACGCAAGTATACTACCCACTCGGCCACTAGGCAGCTGACCAGACAGTTTCTCATTTTGAATTTACACGATATAGCACAACCCGTCTATGCGAGCTTGTGACAAGTACCGGTCCTCAATCATCCCAGCACTAGTCAATAGGGTTATGACTCCGTTGGAAACTTTCACAACCGAATTATTTATTGCATGAGAGTAATGGAGAATTTTGTTTTCGTTTATATGAAGAATTCATCGCGTAAATGAAGCCTGAGCTGAAAAGCTGAGAAGCATTGGAGAGCTGCTTCATATAAACAAAAACAAAATCCTCCATTTCTCTCATGAAACATTGATATGATCAGCCTCCTTAGGCGTTTGCTTCTACGTGTATCAACTTCCCAAGCCATTTTACGCACCGACTGGCCTGGCAGTTGGCAAAAAAGCTATTTTTTGATCGGGACAAATTATTCATATTCGCGTTGAGTAAAAGACAGATTTTAAAGGAAGCTTTCTGAATTACTCTTTTTTCGCAAACGTTACGAAGAAACAGAAACCCAATGAAAGTGGCTAATTCTCTGGATGAGGTCTCTAGCTATTGTTCCATCCCTCCTATAAAGCTCAATAATTTCAATCATATCCTGAATAACCAGTAGTAGGGTCCTGAAGTCTGAATAATCTGCTCAGCCTATTCCCCCAAGTAGTCCCGGTGATGCAGAGAACACAGTCCGTCGAGAAACACCGTCATGGCATCCGTTCTCATGGTTTGAATCCAGC